GTTATAATTTCTGCAGCAGTTTGTTTGAATCAGCTTTGGGGTGCTTTCCACTTCCTGTCTTGCATTTTGGTTGCTCATGTACCTATCAAGGGGGCAGTAGTGTAGGGGTTTATAAGATGTCCTGGGTTCAAATCTTTGTCCCACTGCTTCCTAACTGTGACACCAAGCAAGTGCTTAACCTCTTCGGAACTCAGTCTCCTCATCTATAAAATGGCAATAATAATTGTACCTACTCACAGAGTCATTGTAAGGATTTTCAAAATACATTTATCCAATGCCTGAATGCTGTGCAATGGAGATATTATACAAATGTGACCAAAACCACACAGGCTTGGCTCATAGTGGATGATCGTGCTTGGAAAGTGTTTAATGCATAATGAATGCTCAATAACTTTTAGCTATTATTATGCCTTATCATTTTCACCATACCCTGAGCATTTGTGTTAGGCAGGGAACATGTTTTATGTCTTTATAAAAATACATAGGCATTATATCCCCAACACCTAACACAGAGCTTGGCATATGATGTGTGCTCGATAAATGATTGGCAACTGACTGCGAGGATCCAATGTTCTTAATTGCACAGGAAATGAGGGATGCTGTATAAAATTCACAGCTTACCCAACATAACAGTCTTCCCAAGGCTGAGTGTTTTGTGTCCCCGTTCCTAGAACCGTAATTTGTTTTTGTTTGTTCATTTGTTTAATCAGTGATTGCTGTTGTTTTTCTAATCCTTGGTTCGAAATGCTGCTTCCTCAATCTGATTTCCACGCTGTCCTCTTACTGGGTTCTTTCTGCCCCACTCCCCGGGTCCCCTCTGAAAGCTCAACATTGGTTTTTTTGGCTGGCTTTATTTTTTTTAGTATCTTTTAAAATATTTCAACTGGTCATAAGTATTTATTTTATTTTTAACTTCTTTGTATAACTTAATCAACTGTCTCGATAACATTCTTTTGACTTCCCCCAAAAATGTTTCTTAAGACTTGTATTCTGTGTGTTCATCTCCAAGGGAACACTTTGGCTGAGTTTTCTATCAGGAATGACACAATTCCTTCCACAGCTATGCAGAGGGGGAATGTGAAAACCAACAGAGCCACATCTGCCCAGCTCTATCGCCTTGATCCCACACCCAGCGGATCCCTCACATGCACAAGTCCCCAGCTCTCCCACTGGCCACATTTCCCAATGCCGTCTCTATTAAAAATCTTCTCTTTCTGGTTAAATCCTAATGGAAAGTGAAATAAATACTATAAAAGAAGCTCATTCGAGATGAGGGTCATTCTAGAGTCCAGTTGCCTTGGATTACAATGGTCCCTGATATATAATTGCTTCAGGCTCAATTATTGGGTTTTGTTGTTGTTGTTGTTGTTGTTGTTTTGCAAAGTTGGGGATTTGGGGAGACAAAATTTCACTGTGTTTCCCAGGCTAGAGTGGAGTGACATTCACCACAGCTCATTTTTGCAACCTCAAACTCCTGGGCTCAAGCAATATTTCTGCCTCAGCCTCCCAAGTAGCTATGACTACAGGTGAGCACCACCATGCCCAGCTAATTTTTTGAATTTTTTGTAGAGACGGTGTCTTGTTATGTTGCTCAGGCTGGTCTCGAACTCCTGGTCTCAAGCGATCCTCCTGCCTCAGCTTCCCAAAGTGCTGGGATTATAGGCATGAGCCACTTTGCCCAGCCTAATCATGTTTTTTTGTTGTTTTTTTTTTTTTTTTTGATCAATAATTATTTCAAATTTCTGTTCAGAGGTCCATGTGTGACCTGGTTTGGTTTAGGTGCAATTCACACATTATCTGTCTCCCATGGTTCTGTACTGTCCATAATTTGCATGTCTCGATCTTCATTTTATTATCCAGGGGCAAAATATTGTTCACTGCCACCAAACTTCTTCCATCCCAATAGAAAAACATTTCCCTTCTTCTTGCCTCACTCACCCTAGCTTTAAGAAGGGGAGAAAGAGACAATTAAAGCCACTGGTTTGGGATTTCAAGGAACTGGGCAGAAACGGAACCTCGGGCAGGTGGGAATGTGATCTACATGGGAAATCTCTGAGAAGGCACCTGCTCCTCCACCAGCCTCTGTCTCCGAGGCTCTTGGAGGCGCAGCCTCCTGGGAGTGGCTTCTTGCTGGAAAGTGGGGCAAACAGGCGCAGCACTGGTAAGGGCTCTGTCTGTGGGAAAAGGACAATCGGTGAACTTTCTAGCCCAGGGGGTAGGGGCAAGGCTTCCAATGTGAGCTAGACGTCTGGAAACTCAATCTTGCCCAGGGTATCGGTTACCTCGCAGACAGACCCTCTCCTGCTTGGAGGGCGGCAGTAGCCGGGAGGGCCTCTGACATGGAACTCTCCGTGCACCTTTTAATTAACGCTAAGAGATGTATGTCAGAGTCTCCTAGAAAGGGAAATTGTTCTGCCTGGTAGAAGAACAGAGGTGTCATCAAGATAGGAATTTGAGTATGACAAAAATATCAAGACGTTCCCATGTCTGCCGTGGCCCAGGGAATTAAACATCAGGGGAGTCACCGTTAGGTCATGGGGTTGGGATCATTGCTCCCTACCAAATTGTTGCTCAGGGCTTCTTTTCAAGGAGAATCATAAGAACTCCTGTTACCCTGCCTGCTGTGTTGGTATCAAGCATCCTTGGTTCTCAAGCATGAAAATATGAAGAACCCTCAGGTCTTGATTTATCCACATTAGTAATTCCAGGTAAGAGCCTGAGTTACAGGATCTATCTTCACATCTAGGTGTGAATTCTCTCCCCGCACACTCTGGGGCTGCCTCCAGACTAACCCTCTCGAAGCCTTTCTTCATGTATTCTCCAACCACATTTAGTATGGACCTGCCAATGTGTCTGACGTTACTCCAGGAACTTGTGACAGAAACAGGCCCAAGGGGTTTATGTATGTCTTGGCCCTCAAGGGGTTTATGTACTAGGAGGGAATACAGATGTATGAATTAATAATAATAGCAGCTACTGTTTGTTAGGCCTTGTGATATGCTTTTTTAAATTTATTTTTTTAGAGATAAGAGTCTGGCTATGTTGCCCAGTCTGGAGTGCAGTGGCTATGCACAGGCACAATCCTAGCTCACTGCAGCCTCAAACTCCGGGACTCAAGTGATCTTCCCAAGTAGCCGGGACTACAAGTGTGTGCCACTGCCCCCGGCATATGATGTGCTTTTGATAAGCATTAGGCTAAGTGTCTGTGGTAGCCAACCCCCAGGATAGCTCACAGCGATCCTCACCTCCTGATAGTCATGTGCTTTTGCCATCCCCTTCTACGGTGACTAGTGCTGCTGTAAATAATAGGATCTGTGGAGATAAGTGTGTGACTTCTGAGGCCAGGACATAAATGGCAGTGCAGCTTCCACTTTGCTCCCTCTTGGATCAGTCACTCTAGGGGAATCCAGCTGCCATGTGGTTAAAACATTCGAGAAGCCCTACCCATGGGGAGGCCCAGGTGGAAAGGAACTGAGGCCTCCCACCAATAGCCAACGAGGAACCAAACCCTCTGCCTACAGCCAGGTGACTGGGCCATCTTGGAAGCAGAGCCTCCAGCCACAGACAAGCTTTCAGATGACTGCAACCCCAGCTCACGTCTTGACTACATCCTCATAAGAAACTCCAAGCCAGAACCACTCAGCTAAGCCTCCGTTCCCAAATTCCTGACCCACAGAAACTTTGTGAGACAGTGTTTATTACTGGTTGAAGCCACTAAATTTGAAGATAATTTGTTGTACAGCAATAGATCACCAATACAGTGCTTTGTGTTCATTTTCTATTGAATCCTCAGGCCAGTCCTATTAGGTATTTATTATGGCCCCAACTTTACAGATGAGGAAACTGGGATTTTGAGAGCTTAAAGATGCAAAGTCAGAGCTAAAAGCTAAGTCTCCAAACTTCAAAGTCTGTGTCCTTAACCTCCATATAATAAAATGGCTTTGGTACAAATGTAGATGTCTATACAGGAAACACAAGGTCACAGTGGGAGAAATAGTGAGCTCTACCTAGAGAGTCTGGAACTGAGGGGAGGAGCAGGCAGGAAAGACTTGTTAGAGGATGTAAGACATGCAATGAAAATGAAGAATGAGCAGATGTTCACCAGGTGGGCAGCATGCAGATTCCAGAGCGAGTGGCATGCACGGAGACATGGAGGCATCAAACAGCCTGAGCTGCTCAGAAACCTGTCTGGAGTTTCTAGACCCAAGAGAACCAAGCCCTGTGGCTCATTCACCAGGGTAATACCTTGGTTCTAGCCCCAGATCTACTCTTACCGTCAAAGGACCCCCAAAAATCACTGGACCTGGCACCTCTACTACTCTACTGCTCAAACTGCTCTCTGCTCTTGATCAACTCAAATCCCCTTTCGATACCCATTTCTTATCTAGGTCAGTTCTCTTATACAGACCCAGCTCCCTGATGTGTGTGACACACAAGCCACTGTTCTTCCTGGAAGGCAACTCTTCCTCCTTGCATAAGTGTATTATGATGCATACATTTGCATTCATACATCTCATGTCCTCTGCAAAATGTCACGTGAACCTCACTTCCTTCTTTAGCAGGGTATGAGAATGACCAAATCAGGGAGATTCAGGAGACCAAGTATGTTGGATTAAAGAAAGGTGCTTTGCTTTTCTCCTGGCAGCCTTCTGGATGCATTGGTGGATTACAAATGAGAGAAGCACAATAACAGCAGCTGGTTCGGTAAGAGGACCCACACCCAAAGGGTACTGACCATGGGTTGATGGAAATTCTAGAAGACAATCTACATTGCCATGACCAATGGCTCTGCCCTCAGCCCACTCCCAGGCAACACCTTTTAAACCAATAGTTTGCATGAAGATATAGAAAGCAGGTCTGCCAAATTCCCAAGTGGCTGACACTGGGTAGATTAATAACCATGTGAGATGGCAGAACTGAAAACGGCATGCCTCTCAAAAGACTAGCGTGGGTCAAGCCTACCAAGAGAAATTTCACCCTAAAGGTAAGGTCCTTTTACTTGAGTTCCAACAGTAACTGCACAAATCCACCATGGAGATTTCTGACTCAGGGGTAACTGTAAGTTAAGTAAGAGTGAAGATACAGCCTGCACTAATCTGGCTTCCCAGTGAGGAGGGGAAGGAGGAGAGACAGTTGGACTCTGAAGGTTTACTGCTGAGATTCTACAGCCTCACCACCACCCTGGGGCTGTATTTAGTAACTCTCGTGCTCTACTCCATTAAACAAGTTTGGGTTCCCAGCCCCTACCCGAGCCCCTCCCCCGAGCCTGAGCCCTGGAGCCCTTAGAAGGTAATGAGAAGGCTGAGAGCTTGGAGTCTGGGAAGAGCTTGGAAACGAGAGCTCTCAGAGCCTCTCCCTGCGAGGCCCTATCCCTGCTGATAAGGCCGAGAGCAGAGCTGGCTGACAAGTGATTGGAAACAGGAGTCCCCAAACTCTTTTAACCCTTTCCTATCCTGCCCGTGTGTGCTGGAGTCTCTGAACATGGAGGCCCATCTCTTTGCAGCCTCCGCTGATCTGCGTCAGGGCTCTCTGCACCCTCCGCCACTCTCCCCATCTACCTGTCCCTTTGTCCTGATGGGTGCTGAATGCTGTTCTTGCTTCTGCCTGAAAAATAGTCACTACCACCACCAAACAGGCAGCCCCTCTACTCTTAGGCCACTTCAACAGGTCAGCCAGGGAGTTTCCTTCTGGTCCAGACCTGCACAAGCTCACTTCACCACCACACTGCTTTGCCAAAGCCACTGTTCAGCAGCAGGAACCTACAGGTGAAAGTTGGTCCTGCCTGGTGTTTGGAGGTTCTGGGAGCCAATACCCAAGGCCCAGTCTTAGTAGCCTAAGTCCAAAGCCATTCTCAGCTGGCTGAAGAGCCCTAGCTGGGGACTCCAGGGATCACCCCCAAGCCAGACCTGACTTTGCTGAGTAATTCTAAAGGCCCTCCACCCACCTCGGTACTGCCTGGTGCATGAACAGGCCTCCTGCAGGGACAGATGACTAGGGTCTGTCCCTGGCAGTGGCCACCATGGATGAAGCTGAAAGTCAAACTGCCTTGCTTGCCCTGGGGAGGGGCATTAAGGAGAAGCCGGGCTTAGGAGCCACGGTAATTAAGTGCAAAAGAGGCTTCCTTCAGTAGAATGGAATTCAGATAAACTGCCATTATCATGCAAAGCAGCTTTGCACCTTAAAGCCCTTACCCAAACAGGCAGTTTAATTAAATCCCTAATCTCCTATGGCCTGTTCTGACCCCTTCTCACCTCCTTTCCACCCGCCCCTCACCCCCATTCCCAACTTCCAGATTCCATTAAAAACACTCAACTTGGAAGCTTGCAAATCTACTGAAAAATGGTGGATCTGGGGTCCTCTTTGCGGGTCTGGGTGGTGTGTCTCAGGGTGTTAGCTCCCTGAGGTTCAGACAGTCCTGACTGGGGTGCTGGGGGCTGGGGGCGAGTGTGAGCAAGCATGATGGTGGCGACTCTGGCCATGACGGTGCTAGTGAGGAAGTTAGGGGGGCCGGCATTCTGCAGCCCCACTGGCTCCCGCCCATCCCCAGGAGGCTGATGCCCATTTAGGATCCCCCCATGCCATGTCCGCAATCTCACTACCCACATAGATGTGCAGCAGCCCTACCAGACTTGGATATAAGGATCCTGCTGTCAAACCAGAAGACGCAGGGATGGCAAATTGACCTGTCCGTGGGTGTCCCCATTTCTGAGGCTGCACTGGCGCCTCTGTGAACCCTAGGAGGGATGCTAAGCCTGTTGGTGAGAACCAAGTTTGCTGGGAAAAGCCTGAAGCTATGATTTGGTGTTTAGGCTATCTGTTGTAGATAGGAGGAGAGGTTAGGATAAGGAAGATCTGAGTGGGGTGGGGAGTGGCAAGGCCAGAAAGCATCTTCTGATATCTGCAAAATGCTTTAGAAATTTGTGCCTTCGTACAGGAAAAAAAATCAAATCATGTTATCAAATACCAGGCACCATGGCACGCGTTCCCTCTTCAGTTTGAACCTTGAACCAGTTTGAACCCAATCCTCCCACCCCTACCAGGAAAAGAAAACTGTGAAGCAGGGAGGTGAAGTGACTTGCCCAATGGCACACAGCTCGGGATTGGTGGAGCCAGGATTCAAACACTGGCCAGCCTTCTTGAAAATCGATGCTCTTTCTGCTAAACCGCGGATCAGCTACAAGGATTACAATGTTGGAGGGGGATTAACCACCCAGGAATACTCATGGCATTGTAGGCCAGACTCTATCTCTTCTCCCTCCTGCAGCAAGAACGTTTCCATCCCTAAACATGCCATTTCCTCTGAGCAAAGGGCTCAGCGGGGATGAGAGAATCAGCCCTCAGCCCTGGGAGCCAGCCAAGGGAGCCGGGCTTGTGGAGGGCTTCTTGGGGCTCAGACCCTAGAGAATGAGGAGTCCCAGAGGAAATTTTTCTTTACAGGGAAGAAGCATCTGGGGTCGTGGTGGGGGAGGGGGCATCTGTAAGTCATATAACAAACACCAGACCTCTCCATTTTATGTCTCATTCCTTTGGTGGGGGTGAGCAGCTGAGCCATCTCTATTTGGGAAACAGTGGAACTCAAAGCATCATGAACCCTGCACTTTTTCTGTTAATTGCATGGACTTTACGGTGCCTGGAGAATGCATGGACCTTCTTTAGAGGAAGTTATATTTCTGGAATATAATAGATATTATATATAGAATGTATATATTCGGAATATAACATAAGGTAACTGAATTCCTGAAACCCCCTGTTAGGGGGGATTCCCTACGTTCTTGCATTATGGGTTTTCTATGCAAAGAGTAGGAACCCTTTGGGGAGGTTCCAATAAATCTTAGCAATAAATGAGTGACGCTGGCAATGTTTGAGGCAGCAGGACACTTGGCCCCTAAGGGAGCTCCCAAGCTTTTGTATTCCCTAGCTCTGAGCTGGTTCTGTCCAGCCAGGCCCAGTGGTGGCCACCTTGTTCCGAAGCCAAGTATTTCCAAAGGTCACCCGCTTGAATAACAGGGGCTACTGTTTTGACTTCAGAAAGACAACCTGGGATCAAGGAAGCATCCATGACTCCAGGGCTGATGTGGGTGGGTTAAGAAAGTAGGATTTAGGACAAGATCTGTTACAGGGTCCTTTGTCTCTCTTATAGCAAAGACAACAGAGAAGAATTTTAAAAGGCTGCCTTGGTCTCCAGAACCCCTCTGGAAGCAGATGGCATGTCAACAGGTTCCAGGGCAGGCCCCAGAGGCCCCAGACCTGGGAGCCTTATTGGAATGCAATTACCCTAAGTGCTGGCTGTTAGGATGAAAAGGCAGGAATGCAATTATGGAAGGAGCATGCAGTGAGCTTTCATTGATTAACCTGTCCTGTCTGATTCCATTCCCCACTGGGGTGATTTTGGGGGCCCTGAGGGCTGCCCTGTGCCCTTGGGTTATGAGAAAGGAAAACAGTGGCTGCAGAAAGTAAATACCTAAAGCAGGATTCAGGAGGCCTGTGGACCCCTAAAACTGCCTGGGAAATGCACTTCTGCAAAATGCAAAATGTGTACTTTCTAGGAAGAGGCTCTACACTCTTATCAAGTGCTCGAAGGGATCTGCAGCCTCCCAAAGGGTTAAGAACCACGTGTCAGAAGAGTGAAAGATCAGCAGAGTTGTTAGAAGAGGCCTCCAGGAAAAGTCCCTTCAGTTTTCAACTCCAAATGGCCATCTGGGTTCAGTTCTGGTCCTACCACTGATCAGCAAGTCACTCAGGGGTGCCTCAGTTTCATTTGTAAAATGAGGGTAAAAAAACCTACTTCCTGGGGTTGATGAGTGAATTAAATGACATAAAGAAGGCAAATTTTAGCTTTAGTAACAGCTTGGTAAATGGGCACCATTTTGATTACAATTATCTATTAAAGTTCAGAAAATACAGGGGAATGCATATACATACTCTTCTGAGCAGTCTTTCAACCCCAAACTCATAGTCTAGATTCCCTGGGCATCCCCAGGCAAGACCATCCTCCAAAACTGAGTGGGGCTGTGAGCCCTGGGTCTCCAGACATGGTGTCCTTGAACTCTCTCCCCACAGGGCACTTCTCCCTTTAGAGAGGCACCAGGATCTGGCCACCCTGGGAGATGAGCTTCTCAAATAGGGGTGCATGGAGCTTCTGGAAGTGGAGGTGTCAGTGCCTGGGCCTGAGCTGGAGCTTGCCCCATTGGGAAAATTTCTAACAATTTCAGTCACCTCAATCTTCCTGCCTGTTGGGATAATACAGTCAAGCACTCAGCTGAGATGGTCTTCTCTACCCTAATAGGCTCTAGAATGAGACTAACCTATGGCCCAGCGTCTACAGAATGTCCAGTGTGGGACTAAGAAAGCAAAACCCAAATCTCTCCTATTCCCCTTTTCCCCCACACTCTTCTCTTGTCCCAGATCCCTGGAGCTCTCCCTGCCAGAACTCACAGGCTGCCCAGGTGTGTCCCAGCCCAGCCCCACTGCCTCCAGCCTCCTCCCTCAGCACACACCCCTGCAGCCACAGGCCCCTGCTCCTAAGCCAAAGCCTCCCTCCATCACCTCTGGGCTTAGAAGCCGGTGTGATCCCAACTCCAGCAGGGAATTCCAGAGGTGAGGGCCATGGGAGAATCTTTAATCTTCCGTTCCCAGGAGAGAATATACCCAAAGATCAGGGAGCAGGAGCAGGCTCCAGGCCATACTTTTGTTGATTCATCAATCATTCATTTATTCATTAATCATTCATCCCCTCACCCATCAATCATTCATCTGCTTATTTATTCATTCAGTTTGTTTGTACCTCGTCCTTGCTTTGGTTGCCACAGATGTTGGTCCTCTCCTGCTTTGATCTGTCCCCTGTTTCTATGGCAGCTGCACAGCAGAAGCCTCTCATGTACCTTGTGGGGAGCCTGGCGGAGAGGGTGTCTCGCTCTCAGTGGTGCCTGAAACAACCCAGGACGGTGCAGAGCCGTCCCCAGCCTGCGAGTCCCCTTCCACTGCAGAATGTGGCTCTCTACTCCATGGTCACTGGGAGAGGCTGGGAGGGGATACCGAGGGGTCTCCAGGGCCAAGCGGGGAATAATGGTCTGGATGTGCATCACAGTGTGTGAGCTCTGGCTGTTTCAACACCTTTATTGTGGTCCTTCTGAGAGGCGGGGGCCTGCAGGAGACTGTAAGCCTCCATGCCTGGCTGTGAGGCCAGAACCCTGCACTTTTGTCGGGGGAAGGGGGAGAGAACATGCTATGGGAAAACCTGGGCCTGGACTTTCAGAAGCCTAAGCTGTAGCCTCTTGACAGGGCTCCCACCTCCCTTCTACCCTGCCCCACCTCACCCCGCAACGTCTATGCTCAGTGAGAAGCCAGAGATCCGTCAATAAAAGTCAGATCGCATCCTGCCTCTGCTCCAAACCCTGCCCTGACTTTCTGTTCACTCTGAGCAAACACCAAGCCCCATTTCACCTGGTCCCCCTCACCTCTCACTCACTCCCTCAGCCCCTGCTGGCCTTGTCCTTCCTCAACTTCCTCCCACACTCGTACCTCAGGGCTTTTGCTGTGGTTGTTGCCTGTGGAGAAGGAAGTGTTCCTTTGGACACTCTCAACCCCAGAGACGCTATTGAAAGTGGCAATATGTCTCACCTTCTCACCACCTTCAAGGGTTTGCTCAGTTGAAACCCTCCACAATAGCCTAACCCAACCCACCATATTTATTTATTTTTTATTTTTTATTTTTTTTTTTAATGCAACAGACTGGCTTAATAAAACCCACCATATTTAAAATTGCAAAGTGCACTCTCTCTCTCTCTCTCTCTCTCTCTCTCTTTCTCTCTCTCTCTCTCTCTCTCTCTCTCTTTCTCTCTCTCTCTCTCTTTCTCTCTCTCTCTCTCAACCCTCCTTATTCTGTAGCATGCATCACATTCTAACATAATATATAATTTACTTATTACTTCTGCCATCTATTGCCTGTCTTTGCCTGCTTCAGTGTAACCTCCAATGGCGGGAGGTCTTTGTATATTTTCTTCACTGCCGTATCCCAAGGGTGGGCTCATGGATGTGTGGTGCATATCATAAGGCAGTGAAACATTCCTTGGATGAAAGAATGAATGAGTGGGCTGGGCTCTAAGAGCCTCTGAGGATGAAGCTTGTGGAGCCACAGTCTATGGACTCTGGGGCCTCCTGCGCTATTATTTAGGAGGCCCACAGTGGCCTCCACCAGCTGTGCTAAGGGGGAAGGAGCCAAACTGCCCACTGCCAGCCTTCCCAGGGAGGGAAGGTAGGCAGCAGCAGCGGCGGGGATCGCACTAACTCAAGATGCCAGCTCCGTGCTGCTCTGGGGCTGGCCAGCGCTCTGGATGTCATTAGCTGATTCGTTCTGCTCTGCAGAATGTACTTTTCATATTTAGGCAGAAAAAACAGCTTTCGATCCTCGTGCCCTCTCTTCTGTGAGCTGTAGCACATGGCCCGCTTATTATGAATTAATCCTCTAAAGAGCATGTTCATTATTCTAATTTAATTGTGCTTCATTTCAGAAAATAACTAAACCCAGTGCGGAATAAACTCCAATGCTGATCGGTTTTCAAGAAGTTAACCTAAGACAAAATACTGCTAGAGGGCAGCAGCAATTTGGAATCATTAAAGGGAACCCATGTAAATAATAAAAACAAAACTATAATGCAGAATTAAATTAAGGAATAGGAAATTAAATTTGTGAATCTAATCTGAAATTGAGGGCTTATATGCACAGACTTACCCTGGCTTGGCTCTTTGCTCAGGAGTGCTCCGGCGAGGAGGTTCTGCAGAGGTTCCCAAGACCAGGAAAGTGGCAGCCCCTCTTGGGTGACAGTGCACTGCTCTGGGAAGAGGGATGTGGACCAGAGGTGGAGAAATGGGGCTTCCCTCCCATAGGGTCCCCTGTGATGAAGATGAAAGCCACATTGTCACAGCTCCATTTGGATGACTCCTACTGAGCCCCCGTGACTGGTTAAGGGGAGCCACCTGTGGCCAAGAGTCTGTACTCCAGCTCATTAGAAGAGAGCTTGAGAAATGAGGCAGATGGGCGCTGGTGGCTGTGGGTGAGATACTAGGAGCAGTCAGCCTGGAAAGAGAAACTTCTCCAACCCCGCCTCACCCCTGGGCCCCGGGTGCTCTACCACAAGTGACCCAGCTCAGGACAGGGGCTGAGGGACTTGCCTCCCACCAGGGTTGTGGCCCCCAAGCAGGGTCCTGGCCTCCCCACCACGCCCGTGGGAGCCCAGTTCCGGATGGAAGAGACCAGACTCCAGCATTGGGACAAAGAGTCATCCTGTCAGCTCAGGCTTCCACCAGACAAGAAGAAGAAGGGAGGAAGGGGGAAAAGGGGCGTGGGGACGGGGACAGAGCAGACTGATGGGCTTTAAGGTGGCTGCGAGTCAGGGGCACAGTCAACGAAGGGCACAGTAAGCACTGTCATGGCTCAGACTTCATTATATATTTCTCCAGGGTTCTTTAGACCTTGCCCCTGGGGTATTCTCTGCCTTCTCCCAGATTCCCACCCCACTAGTTCTCTTCTGTTTCCTCTCACCTCCCTTCTCCAAGTGAAAAGAGTTCAGCCTCCTGAGTCAGCCACATTGGTTTGGAGTCACAGTTCTTCCTCTTACTTGGTACCAGGGCATGGGCAAACTGCCTCCCTTTCCTTAACCTCCATGTCCTCATATGTAATGCTAATTATACTTGCCCCCTGGGTTTGTCACAAGGGGTAAATGAAATAAAGTACCTGGCACAGAGCAGGCACCGAGGCACTTGTGCTATTTTGTTTTGTTTCCACAGTGCTTGTTCACAGGCAGAGTGCGTACGTGCACACCTCTGCCCCATCCTCTGCCCGGGCTTTGGGCTGTTTCTGGAGCACCACGAGTAGTTGAAAACCCAAGTCCAGCCAATCACCTGCTTGCTTGGATTTGCAAAGGTAACATTCAAACAGATGGTCTTGTCCCAGTATCAAAGTTTTCCATTGCCATCTTTATTTTGGGTTCTACATAGATAAATTGGCCACTTTAGCATAGATTCCTTTTTTGAAAAATAGAAGAGATTACAAACAAGCCAAAAAAAAGGGAAAAAGAAAAAACAAAACAAAGTCACTTTTTCTTGTTTAATTTTAACTTTTTCTTGTTTAATCTTGAAGTCCTGATCAAGGAAATGGTGCACAAAATTTAGGCCATAATGTTGTTGATTGGTCAATTAATTAAACAGTGATTACATCTAAAACTATCAAACATAGAGATAATGAAGACAAAAAGGATTAAGCGTTCTTTTGAATTCCCTGGCTGCTTCCTCAGTCTGACTTTGCTAACTGCCTCCATAGAGTGTGCTAGGCCTTTTGCCTGCCCCACGATTTGTACCTATGAATTGAGACACCACGATGCACAGCCAACCTCGCAGAACAAACCCAGAAACCCCAGAGCAGCCACACAGTGTGGATCCAGGATCTGTGGAAGATTCACCTTTAGCATCAGTGGAAAGGAGGCAGGAGAGCCCAGCCCTGGCCTGAGGCCAGAGAGAAGGTCCTCTGACAGTGAGGACAGGAGCCAGGAAAGCCACGATGTTGACCTACACCTAGATCCAGGAACAAACGCTGCAAAATGACCCCTGACTCAGAAAATCTAGTTTAAGAAAAAGGCACCCAAATCTCTTAAATGCACAAAACTCATGAGAGAAGAAAACCCTCAAAGGGGCCTTGTCCATGATGCCCACCAGAAGAGTGTTAATTTCTAGAAGGCTGGAATAAGCTTGGTCAGTGAAATGGTGTTATGCATGTTCATGTCCTCCCCAAAATTCATGTTGAAACCCTAATTCCCAATGGGATGATGTTAGGAGGTGGGGCCTTTGGGAGATGATTAGGTTTAGATGAGGTCATGAGGGCAGAGCCCCCACGATGGGATTAGTTCCCTTACAAGAAGAGAAAGAGACTAAAGCCACATGCAGACACAGAGACAAGACAGCCCTCTGAAAACCAGCAGTGCCCGCACCAGACACCAGATCGGCTGGTGCCTTGGTCTGGGCCTTCCCAGCCTCCAGGACTGCGAGAAACAAATGTTAGTTGTTTAAGCCACCAGTCTGTGTTATTCTGTGGTAGCAGCCCAAACTGACAAAGATGAATGGTTTCTGTATTTTTTATCTTCAATAAAAACGACTGTTTCCGGAGGATGAACTTGCCTGCCTGGGAGGGCATCTGTGTGGAGGCAGTTTCACCATTTAACCATGAAGCCTCCAGTCATGTCTCCTCAACAGGACAGCTTCCAAAGTGGCTACATTTTAGAAAGCCAAACTGGTTTCCCTAAACCAACCAAATTCCCTTCCATATGTAGTCCATATAGCTTCAGTTTACATGATCCATCTACACATAAAACCCCTCCACCCACGGGTCCCTTTCCCCATTGGAAACTATAATGTTAATTTTGATAACACTAGCAATAACAATCAACATTCATTGAGAGCTGACTCAATGCCAAACATTTGTTCCAAGTGCTTTGTAAGAATTTTCTCATTTAATCCTTACAACAACCACATGACATAGGTATTATTATCCCCATTCTACAGATGAGGCAACTGAGGCCCAGAGAAACAAAGCAGCTAGCCCATTATAACAACAAAATGCAGCAATGTCAGGGTTGGAATCCAGGCATTGTGAGAGACTCTGGAGCCTCCTAACTACTATACAGCACTTTCTATTGGTCATCAGCTCCCCTGTCCACAAATCTATCCGTATTGACCCTAAAATTAGGCCACATGGAAAAGAGCGTTCACTAGTCCTTCAGTAATGCGCATCTGGAGAGCAGGCTCATGTTTTCAAAATGCCTTCACACCACTTTTCTCCTCTAATCGCTATGGAGCATGGTGGCTGGGTCTTCATGGTCTTCCTTGCCTTTTGGCGAATGTGGCCTGAGCTCTGTGGGGTGCAGATTTATAGACAAGACCATGCTCTATTTCATGGGTCAGCTTCTCCCAGCCCGTGAGGGCAAGGCAGGATTGGCATCCAGTGGAACATTCCTAGAGGAAACAGCCTTGTCAGTGTGCAGGTACTCGTTTAAATTCCAGACCCTGGTTTTCGAGACACACATCTGCAGTGGGCATATGTACTGTGATAGATGAAAACCAAAATGGTTTTCCATTGTATCTGTATTATTAGATTTGACCTACCATCGAAAAAGCAAAGAAAGGGTGGAAAATTAAAGGTGATTTGATATTAGCCTCCTATTCATATTAGAAAAAATAACTACTCTTGCGGTTTTCCTCACAGAGGTGTCTTTATTCATTTGACATGCCTTTAATAACTAATTCTAGTTGTCTGGTTGCCAAGAAAGATTTCCTACGGGCAGACTTGAAAGTGACTCGGAACTCTTTGCATGCCCGGCTTCAAATGATCCCAGAACAGCAAACATTCAGCTTCCCTCCAGACTTCTGAAGTGTGGGAATAACATGAAAGAATGAACAAGAATCATTCTGCAGCCTGCATATGCTGAGCGGAGCTGTCTGGCAGGGTTTACAGCCCTGTCTACATGGACCAGGCATAGTGAGATTTGGAAATAATCTCATGAATTTGATCCGTGGAGTCAGCCAAACCAAATGATTTATTTCAAGAAAATAAATCTACACTGGGTCCAGAATGATGCAGGTCAGTCATTAACAGACTGGGTTTTCCTCTACCCACGAAGACCTAGAGTGGGCAGAGAAAGACAGGGAAAACCACCAAAATTGCTCTCAGAGGGTCACAACCAGAGAACACACACAATGAATATGTATAAATATTCATTACAGTAGTTATTCATCTACAGTAGTTATTCATGCCAGGTTAAGTGGACAACATACATAACCTCCTTTAATCCTCACAACAATCCTACCTACAAGGTAATAGTGTCATCATTCCCATTTTACAAATGGGAAAACTGAGCCTCGGAGATGTTAAATGATTTGCCCAGGACACACAGGGGGGCAAAAGTTGGCTAGTTGCTTATCAAGCGTTTCTTTTTTTCCCTCCTATCACACAGTGAGATGCCATTTTTCAGGCTCCCATGCACTTAGATGCAGCCATGTGACTCAACTTTGACCAGTAGAAAGTGGATGGAAGAAACCTAAGTCATTCCCAGTTCCTATGCATACACAATTCTCCCTTTTCAATGACTGAATAGAGAGGATTCTGAGGACGTAGGGGGATAGAACCTGAATATGAAAGACTACAGGATCCTAAATAACTGCCCTGAGCAGAGCCCCCTTCTTCCTCAATCCACACTGGACAGTGATATAAGCTAGATATTGTCTTCTATTGTGTTAAGCCCCTGAAATTTGGTGATTGTTGGTTTCACCTGAAAACCTAAACTGACTAATGCAATTCATTAGCTGTTTCCAAACTCAAGGACTCCAAAGTCCATGCTCTTAACCTCCTCCTTGTCTATACTACACTGGGTCTGATCAACTCATCCCCAGGG